CCCCCGCAATAAACCTACAATCCAGGGAACGAACGCTGCAGGTTCTCTTTGCAGATTGGAGACACATCCCTCAGCGTCTTTTTTTTCTCCAAGGATGACATCCTCTCGAGGGAAACGCCTGTCACCGGTGAGGCCCCCTAGGCTCTGGGGGCCGGGACCTCTTGTCTAGGGCCGTGGGGTCCCCAGCCAGCGGAGGGGAGATGCAACTTGGTCAGTCCCGTCACCCTCTTAATCCCGTTGTCGTTGAAACCTTCAAACAGCCCAGAAGGAGAGATTCCTACCCTGATTTACCATGAAAGACACTGAACTTCAGATCTTTCCGGTGGTCAGGTATCTGGCGGGATGGGGATTTGGATCCTGGTGGCCCTGGCTCTTTAGGAGCTCTTTTTCCTAAACCAAGTGCCTGCAGCCCATCGCTGGGGCACATTGCCCTTCAGGGCGGTGAGCGGTGCTGCTGTCTCACCGTGGGCTGGGGTGCCCAGGGAGAGGAGTTCCCCCCCTCCCCCGCTCCGTCCTCACCTCTGCGGGGCCTCTGGTCCGGCCGGGGGGCTACAGGAGGACGGCACGAAGTGCAGGGTCTCCGGCGGGTTCTGCTGACCAAAGGGAAGCCCGAGCCTCTGCTGGCCAACTCTGAGCGATCGGAAAAACTGGGTCCGGGTTCTACAGGCACAGAAATGCCAACGACTGAGGCAATTCTCCTGGGACGACCAGGGCTTGCTGAGAAGCAGCTTGCACTTTCCCCTTCCTTGTTGCTGTCTTCTCTATGTGCAATGAAGCCGAGCCAGGCGGTAGAATCGAGGGCAGAGGCCTGAGCGCCACCCCCCCACCCCGCCCCCTCTGTCCTAGCTGTGAAGCGGGCACAACGGGCGTGGCTATGAACACCAGGACCCCGGTCCAGCCGACCACGGGGAGCGGGTTCCTCCTCTGTCCTGGGCCTCGATCCCCCAGCTGTGAAATGGGTATTAAAATAGTTCTTGTGGCACAGAGCTGTCGTGAGGAGCAAGTCACGCGGCGCCCAGCGTGGACGGAGCACGCAGCAAATGCGTCAACGGTGGCTGCCTCGGGTGCTGTCACATCCCTTTGCCACACTCCTAGGTGGGTGACACCCAAGGTCTGAGGCCTCGTCCCTGCAACCGTGAGATGCAGAGTTCTCTGAAGACTGAGGCGTGTTTTCCGAACTCGTGTGGTGGAGGAACCCGACCCGGTGCAAGGTGATGGTTCTTACGTGTCCCACCTCGTTGGCGGATTCGTCGTTTTCCCGCAGAAATATTAGCAGCGTGTTGCTAGACGGGGCAGCCAGGGTCTTGAAAAACTTACAAAACTCCAGAAAAAGTGGGAGACTCTGCAACACAGCTGGCCCCGGTGGTTTGGAGATACGGGATTGTGGCCGTGACTCTCCCACTTTGCAGATGAGGAAACTGAGCCCTTAGAAGGGTCACACAGCTAGGAAACAGCAGACCGGCTCTAGACCCCGTGTCTGTGGCCATGGCCTGTATGGCAGTCACGGGCTGAGCTCTGTGTCTCCATGTGTGGGCAGGCTGGCATCGGGGGCCGCGTGGTTCATTCGTGGCGATGTGGCCGGAAGCCCCAGGTCCTCTCGCAGGACCCAGGTCCTCTCGCAGCCTTCCAGAGGCCACACCGGGGGCTGTTGCTGGCAGGCTCTGGGTTGCTGGCACCCTGCCCGTGTCCCCTGGGGCCCTCTGAGCAGGGTGGGACGAGGGGGCACTCTGAACAGACGCTGTCCCTGAGGTAGGGCTGGCCAACCGGGACAGCGGCCACCTGGCCTCCCTGCTGCTTTCTCTGGCAACAGACTCAGATGCCCAGGCCTCTCCTCGGTCCTGGGAGCCTCAGGGGCCAGGCCGGCCACCGCACTAGGGTGCTGTTTACCACAGCAGCCCTGGTGAAGCAAGAGTCCCAGGAGACACTGGTGGGGGGCGGGCAAGAAAGCCTGTCACGCGCGGGAGACGCTGCTTAAGAAAGTTTGTGCCTCCTCCCTGAGAAGGCACGGGGCTGGGGGTGCCTGTGTGTCCCTCGGGGGTCTGACTGGCCTGCACAGAGGCCGCCTGTGTCCCACCGTCCCACTGGGCGGCGGCCGTGGAAGACCACCTCGAGGATCTCTGCTGGCTGGGACGGGGCACCTGGGCTCTGAGGTGTTCTGGTTCCAGCCGCACCTGCATCGCGCCCACACGGCCGGGGAATAGACTCCTACGTCTCTGTGAGGTCCCCACGCCCTGGGCCAGGGTCCCGTGCTGCGTTGTAGGCCTTGCTCAGGCCCCGGGGGGAGCTGCAGAGGGGGTGGGGGCAGGACTGGATGGGGACCCCTGGGGGCAGCGGGGGCCGGTGGCCTCGACCCCAAAACACCACAGGCTCTTCTCTGGCTCCTGCTCCTGCCCCAGTCCTCTCTGCCCCCTCTGGCTGCCTCCTGCCCCCAGGGGGCAGGGAGTTTTCCAGCTGCTTCTGCTTCTGCCAGAGTCCGGCCATCCTGGGAAGCTAACCCCTGACTCTTTGCTCTCTCTGCCTGTTTCCCTCCCAATCCTGGGAGGCTTCTCCCTCCTCCATTCTCTGTAGTAGGCACTCCCCCAAGGTCACGTCTGCTTCTCTCTGCCCTGAGGACTTCTTGTCCTTTTCTCTTATTCCCTGAGAGATCGAGAGTGAAGGGGGCCGGGGAGGGGGACGTCACACAGATAAAGGGGGCATTGGGAAATATTTCAAAAATATCCCCTTTGCTCTCGTCAAAGGCTTGGAGAATTTCTGTGTTACTAGACAAACCAGCAGGGTCTCCCTTTTGTAACCTAATTGAAGGCCGTAGGAGTGCCGGCCAGTCTGTCAGCCTGACGCTGGAAGTCAGACCCTCCAGGTGGCCCTCCCTCCCCCGGGGGCCTGGCCACAACCACTGGAGCCGAAGAATTAGGGAGCTGACTGCCAAACACTGGGCTGCCTGGACCTGTGGTTTTATTAAGTTTTTTGAACACAAGCGCTGCAGATTGATTCAGGCTAAATTTCACTTAAGAATTTTCTGGAACACCCCCTGAGGCAGTTCCAGCTTCAAAGGTGCAGCAGAACCGCCAGGCCCGGGAAAGGTCCGGAAGCAGGCGGCCCGCAGTGCGTCAGGAGCTTGGCGTGACTCAGGAGGCCGGTTCCATCCCTTAACACTCAGTCACCGTCCTTTCTTGTCCCGTCAGGATTTGTGATCCTTCGGGAGAATCGGGTTGGCCTCGTGGAGGTCACAGGCGCACCCGTGTTTTGGGGTGCGTCTTAGTCCTTTTGGGGGGGTGCCGTAACAAAGTAACTGCAGACTGGAGGGTTTTGAAACCACAGGCATTCATCTCTCACAGTTGTGGAGGCCGGAAGTCTGGGGTCAAGGTGCCAAGACGGGGGGGACTGTGGTGAGGACCCGCTACGTGGCTGCAGCCTGCTGACTTCTCCTTGTGTCCTCACATGTGGAAGGGGCCAGGGAGCCGCGGGGTCTCTTTTAAAAGGGCACTAATCCCGGCGCGTCTGGGTGGCTCAGCCGGTTAAGCCGCCGACTCTGGGTTTCGGCTCAGGTCACGATCTCACGGTTTGTGAGTTTGAGCCCTGCATCGGGCTCCACGCTGACAGCCCGGAGCCTACTTGGGATTCTCTCTCTCTCTCTCTCTCTCTCTCTTCTTCTCTTTCTGCCCCTCCCGTGTGCTCTCCCCACCCCCCCAAAGTAAATAAACTTAAAAAAAAATAAAATATGTGCTTTTAAAAAATAAATAAGCAAATAAAAGGGCACTAATCCTGTTTCTGAAGGCCCCACCCTCATGGCCTCATCACCTCCCCGAGGCCCCACCTCTGAATACCATCATGTGGGGTGCAGGATTCCAATATGGGAATGTGGGGGGGACACAGACACTCAGGCTGTAACAGGCTGGTAGGCACGGAGGTGAGGCTTGTTGGTTAGTGGGCTCACTACAACCACAGGGGGTCGAGAGGCAGTCACCCGCAGGAGGGGGACGCTCTTCCTAGAAAAGGCCAAGAAAGGATGCTGGGCAGGCAAAAGCAACAGGTGTTTGGTCCATCCCGTCCTCCGCACTGCTCTCCCCCCACACACCCTCCTTCCAGGTACAGGACTGAAGAATGCCTTCCTTATGAGACGCGATGACCCAGATAAAGCCCTGGCTGTCCCCACTCCTGCCCAGGAGTCGTACCCGAAGTCACCACCAGGGACTACGTCTGCAACCACGGATCCAACCCAATGGAGCCACAGGGCTCTGAAGCCAGGGTCTCTGGCCTTCTCTCATTCCATCACAACCCTTGTTGACATTCTGGAATCTATGGCCTCGGTGGTGAATTTAACCACCCTTAGTAGCTAATAAAGGGAATGAGGAGGAGAGGGACGGAAAAAAAAATCCTGAAAAATCATGCTGACACAGCAAGCAGGGAGTGACAATTTTTGGTCGTGATCTCTTTCCGAAACTCATTTTAATACTATAATTATGCTAATATTATATTATCACCAGCTTCAAAAAAATATTAGTAACAATAATAGCAGTAATCATTCTAGCTAGAATTTACTGAGCACTTGCTATGTACCAGGTACTGTTCCAAGGGCTTTGTAAGAATTAGCTCAAGGTCATGGCCAGGATTTGCAACTTTCCTCCTGATTTACCCATTCCTTTATCCCCTTGCCTTCAGCTGGCTTTCAATGTATAGGACGGACTATTATTCAACCTTGAAAAAGGGAAGGAAACTCTAACACACCTTATAACACGGAAGAGCCTTGGAAACATGAAATAAGCCCGACACGAAAGGGCAGACACTCTGTGATTCCACTTATATGAGGTCCCTAGAGGAGTCAAATTCATACAGACAGAAAGTAGGATGATGGCTGTCGGGCTGGGGGAAGGAGGGATAGAGAGGTAGTGATTAGTGGGGACACAGTTTCCTTCAGTGTTGCAAGACGAAACGCGCTCTGGGGTGGGCGGGGTGACGGCTGCGTGACAACGTGGATGTACTTCCTGCCGCTGAGCTGTGGCCTTAGAAGTAACTAAAATGGTAGATTTTGTGAAGCTCTCCTGCAGAGCTTCCTGTTGTCTGCTCAGTGGTCCCTTGTTAGGTGGGGCCCGAGCTGCGGACAGGTGCTCTCTCTTCCCTCCCAGAGCTGCCGGGAGGCCGCCGGGATTGCACATGGAAGACAGCCAAGCTGCTCACGGGCTCCTGCGGCCCGAGGGCAGCTGTCGGTAGGGATGTCAGCACACCTAAATCCGGCTGGGCCCCTGGGAGCAGGGCGCTTTAGGGCCACCGTTATAAAAATCCCAAACCACGGCTCCGGTGCTCACAGCCCGAAAGGCATCTCGGGGAGCCCTTGCTCAGGTGCTGACAGTCAAGCACTGGGGAGAGGGAGCCTTGGGGAACACTCCGACCCTGAAATTCCTGGATTCCGGGATCTCTTCCCTCCTCCCACGCCTGCCCCCGGGGGAGCACAGTTTGCCAAATGCAGTGAAAGTTCCATCCCGGCACAGCAAGCAGCTCCAGGGAGAGAAGCAGGGAGGCAGCGGTCACAGGGGAGTGAGGGACACTGAGCCCAGTCGGTGCTGCTTGTCCTCATAATCCTCCAGCCCCACTTCCGGGGTTCCTGTGAGGCTCCAGTGAGTTCACCTGGACAATGGGAAGACTCATCCAGGACTCTTGTCACTGTTACCATTGACACACACACACACACACACACATACACACGACTCACCTTTCATGGGACATTTGAGAGACTCTTGAGGGCACACTCCCCTTCCTTGTCCTACCCTGAATTAAAAACCAAGATTTTTGTGGTTGTGGGGTTGAAAGGATGGAAACTGCCAAGTGTAGAGCATTGCATCCAAGTCATGTGCCAGGAGCCCAGAATTCCGCCCTTGACTCCCAGGTACACGTTTCCCCCGCCCCAGCAAACGAGTCTCTGACACCAGATGGGTGACTGACTACAACCTCATTCTGTTCCGACACTGCCTACCCAGAGACGGCATCAGATCCCGCAGGTTAGGGGCTCCGTCCTGCAAGGGTGCCCCTCCCCCACCTTCACACGCCCCCTGCAAGTCCCGGCTGTCATCTGTTCTTGTGACCTAGTGGCTATAGACCGGAGGTCCCCAAGACCACCTCCATGGGCTCAATTAATTGGCCAGAGGGGCTCACAGGACTAGATCCCCAGTTTACCACAAAAGGATTAACAGAGGAACAGCCAGATGGAAGGGGGGCACCAGATAAGGTCTGGGGAAAGGGTACGGGGCTTCCACACCCTCTCTAGGGGCGCCGGCGTCCTCGCTGCTCCACGTGTTCACTCACCTGGAAGCTGAACCCTGTGCAGTTAATTAAATTAATTAAGTGAATCAATTCATTAAATCATTGGCCATCGGTGATCAAACTCAAATCTCCAGCCCCTTTCCCTCCCCCCCAGTCACACAGCCGGTGCCACTGACAACCAGCCCTCCCCTCCCCCCTGCCCCCACTCCGTTTTCAGGTGATGTAGGGACATTCCAAAAGTCACCTTATTAACAAAAGATACCTTTATCACTCTGATCACTTAAGAGAGTCCAAGGATTTTAGGAGCTCTATGCCCAGAATGGGGTTGAAAACCAAAAATATGTTTCTTATTAGAAATCACAATATAACAGGGGCACCTGGGCGGCTCAGTCGGTTAAGCGTCCGACTCTGGATTTCAGCTCAGGTCACGATCTCACAGTTCCTGAGTTCAAGGCCCACATGGGGCCCTGTGCTGACAGCTTGGGATTCTCTCCCTCTCTCTCTCTCTCTCTCTCTCTCTCTGCCCCTCCCCCACTCGTGTGTGCCCTCTCTCTCTCCAAAGCAATAAACTTTAAAAAAAGAAATCACCATATCACAGAGAGTTTCACACACAAACTCATTCCATCCACACGGTCCTTCTAAGAGGCAGGGAATCCAAGCCCAGTTTACAGCTGCCAAGACTGAGGCTCATGGGCCTGGGCACCTTACCCAAGGCCACGGTGTCTGATCCCACTAAGTGCTAGGGCTTGGGTTAGAACCGAGGTCTGCCTAGGTCGCGGCTCCCCTGCCACTAAAGCACATCCCAGAAGCCCACAGTGCACTTCTATGGATGAGTATGTAAGCAAGGTTGCAGAAGGCACTCCCCGCGGTTGCCTGGCCAGGCATGGGGGTGGGCAGAGCTGGAATCGAGGCCAAGGGCATGCAAGGCGTAACTTCTTTGTTTTTTTACTGTTTATTTTTGACCGAGAGAGAAATCGCGCATCCGCGGGGAGGGGCAGAGGGAGAGGCGATCAGAAGAGCTAAAAGCAGGCTCTGTGCTGAAAGCAGAGAGCCCGTGCTGGGCTCGAACTCATGAACCATGAGATCATGTCCCGAGCCGAAGTTGCATGCTTAACTGACGGAGCCACCCAGGCGTCCCAAAGGGTGAATTTAAGTAGCATTTTCTGGGGTTGCAAGTGGCAGACCCGACTTGAACCAGCATTGGCAAAACATGGATTTATTGGAAG